ATGTGAGCTCCAGTGCTTGCAAAAGTTATACACAATACAATACAATACAATAGAAAAATCTGTCATGTTCGAAAGTGCATTTGTGAGAAGAATATCTATTATGCGTTGGTTGAGGTAGTTAAGTCGACTAGGCTTATCACATGCTCATCTGTTTTATGTCACACTTTGACACATTCGTTATAATCGAACTGTTCATTGCGATCCATTGGTTTGTCCACCTTTCGAAAAAAGCCTAAATTAACGTTCAAAATACACCTCTCTTTGTTATTTCCCCATCACGTGACTATCATCCCAATCGATGTAAGTATGGCATTCAAATTTACACGAGAGTTTCGTTGCTATACAATGGAATACGTTAGCGATCAAATCGGACGCCGAATATCAACTGGCACCTCCCCCCTCTTAATTCGTCCAACCACAGATCAAACAATGCGTACCGGTAGATCTCAAAATGTTCACAACGGAGCAAAGAAAGAGGTGGAATGAAGCTAAGTGTATGGCTCTACTGCGCATCCGAGGTGTTTCTGAAAGGGGTGGTGAACAACTGTTGTTTATTCACTCACCTTTGTAGAGACTGTCAGTTAACCGGATAACATAATGATATTTTGATGGTCTCATTTTTCGATTAAAAAATATTCAGCGTTGATAGGACATTGTAAGTATTCCAACAACTTTCAAATCAAACTCCCACAAAATGATAAAGGCAGATCAAAATAAACGTTTTTCTCTAAAGCATTGCTTGATTTTAGCAGCTTGAACTCGCTGAATCATACCTTGAATACCTCAGAACTAATCTAAGCTCTAAAGAGTACGTAGTGCTTAAATCGGACCAGGAACATACGGACATCCTTCATCCGATAGATTCGCATTTCGTCCCATTTTTATAAGGTGTTGCCGATCTTTAAACGGATATATCAAACAACCAACAATGACCAGGAAGACATCAAAAGATTGCCAATGGGTCATTCGCGATAGAATTTGTACCAACTGATGATTGCGATTGCATAATTATGCCCTTCATGCATTGAACCTATTTTGAGGTAGCGGCTGTTAGCTCTCCTCTTCTCCCTAACCGGATTTGTCAGTTTAGGAACCTGTGATTCTACAAATGGCGCGGAACACGTTACACTGAACGGGGGTTAGTAAATTCCCCACTATAAATTTATTTTGGATTATGCCATCTTAGATGTTTTCCCATTATACAATTCGATTTTCGTAAACTCACGCTTGGTAAACTGGTGCTATAAAAATTCCTTGGAATCAGCGTGTTTCTGCGAATTTCCGTCCTCTAATCACGGTCCCATATATTCTTATAATTGAGATAAAAGTACCTCGCGATGTATTGACTTTCTCTGGCGAAATGTTGATCTGCTCTTCGGAACGCGGGAGTCCGGGACAACCAATCACACACACAAACACAATTTGTCCATCAGAATTATACAAGTCACGTGTGATGGATTACGGACACAGTGGTGTGAATCGAGCATGAAATCTTGTCTCATTTATAACGCGGACAGCTAACTTATCAATATTAGTAATTTAGAATTTACACATTTGTAAACTGTGTTCACATTGCCCATGATTGGTACGTAAACAAACAGATAGATTGTCCAAAGAGAGGTACCGCTCTGCCACATAATGATCGCTGACAAACATTCAATTTGGAACGTTTTAATTGAGCGCCTTACTAAATTGCGTTGCACTGAACACAACAAAAACAATAACTGACACATTAAAAAGCTCCAAACTGTACTGCGGTGGCCATTTTATGGGGCATTGTCCGGTGCATTGCGAGTGCATCGACTGAGACGAGTAGCACCTGACAGGAAACAACTATACGAGACACGCATGAGTACCACCGGGGAGTTAGCTGATCAGATTGCTGTAACTCCTCTATGCCCGACGCATAATGCAGTCCATTTTAACTTCAATCAAACCTCACCGGATCCGTGTAGTCGGTTGGATCCAATCTTTTATTTGTTCCCCCGACCCATCCAGTTCGGTTTACTAAACAAAGATTGCTGGTATCACTTCATGTCGTCTGTAAAACAGCCAATAATAGTTTGTCAAGGGAGTCAGACTTACAGAACAAGCTGATTGTATTGAAGGCTGACTAGCCGTTCACCATGACATGACCAATTTCGAGATACAGCCTTACTACTGACACGCCAAACCGGGTTCCTTTTGAAGTTTGGTTTGGAATGTTCACAGTTCTGTGCTACCGCCTAGGACTATTATTATTCACAAGAACAATGAATCACTGACAATAATCTCCCTGTGATTATTCAACCTCACATCCAGATTGTTTGCTTGAATGGCGGATTTACACTGGGATTTTAATCCCCCCCCTGAACGCGATTAATCGAGCCGCAAAAGTTTAGTGGTAATTAAGAGAGTTGAAGATGCTAAGTGAATATTTTCTATCTTTATTCTACTCGGGTAGCATTTTGTTTGAAGACAAATATTTATCTAAATGACCGGAGGATTATCTCAATGAATGTGGTGACAGCTGAAACTCACCTCCATTATACTAGAGATAAAAATGATAAAATCGGTTCAGCGATATTCAATTCATTAACCACACGGGCACAACGGATTTTTCTCGAAATTATTCATTAGGAAAATATGCAAGCAATTAATCTTCACCACAATGGGAATAATTTCGTTGTCTTCAGGCATGGCGTGACTGGGTGGATTATCCGCAAGAATTAACAAGCTCACCCTAAGGGTTCGCATTTTATTTGAATATTTGTCAACTTATTAGAGGAATCAAAATCGTTATCCTCATTGAAATCGCACTAGTTTTTACCTGATGCATAGATGCACTGATTTTCTCGGCCTAGTGAAGCACCGTTCTAACCGTGATCGATCAGTATCACCAGAAATAGCATTCTGCAAATGGAATAAATCAATAGTTTGTCAGGGGAATGCGATACAGTTTAACCTTAGTTTGAGAAACGATTAAACCGGTAAGAAATGAACATCGTGAGTGTTTGGAAAGCTAGGTAATTGAGAAACCGCTTCCAGCTTTTATCTTATTGTGTTTCAGAGATTGGATATTGTTTCAATATTAAACTCATTGCATTTGAGGTGTAAATATCGTTTGAAGGCCTACTGAGAGAAAATTCGATTTAGCGTATGGAGGTTCGGGTAATTTCAATAAGGGTTACTAATTTTGTGGCCCAGATAGAGCGTATAACGTGAACTATCCGTTCGAGATGCACGGCCCATGGTAATCACTTTGAAAACATGGCTACCATAGGGATGCCTCAGTGCTGTGTTCAGGTCGGTCCAGGTCAAACTGCTATGATCTGAACCTGATATCGGGAACCAAGAAAATCATAAATAGTGTTTTTTTAAGCAAATGATCCGTTTAAGACAGAAATTTTTAACTAGAATTCAGCCTAATACCAAATTATTGTCAAATTATAAATTTAATGTCATACTTACTATCTGGATACCATGATTCGGATTTACTCGTAGATAGAACGATGCTGGTCTGTTGTATGAAGACCGGCATAGTTATGTGAATCACTTCGTGGTTACCTTTTCATCCGCACAGCAAAATCCAATATTCACTGATGATTACACCATAAATAAAAAGCATGAAAATAAATTTATACTAAAGATAAATTTGTACTTCGACTTTAACGCATTTTATTTGTGGATATGTCTAAAATGCCCGGGAGAAAAAGTTCCCTTTTGACTTTAACTAGAACGCTTTGTTTTGTCCTCACGCTTCGAAATGGTTGTGGCCCCCATGGCTCTATGCGTATGTACTTTTACTCCGGAAAAGTTCATCACATTGAGATCTGTTATCCCATTTAGTTGGGCCCAGGCATCCACACAGACAACACGCGTGTATGCTTGACGGAACACTGGTATCTACCCGGTTGTATATGGTAGCTCGCAACCGCACGTTTTTTTGAAATACTACACAAACGTATTGACTTCAGTCACCGGATTTACATGTAGAACCTATTCCTAATTTTTCTCTGTTCGATTGGGTATACAAGGCTATAGGTATTTCGACAATTATCATTCACTTAATCGAATGAGTGAGCCCAGGTCAAGCCCAGAAGAAACTTGTGCATCCGAAACGACTAATGTTCAAAGACACTTTTAATGTATCAACTAAATACTAAACTAGACATAATTTCTGTTCAGAAACATCCGCAAAACCTGTTAAGTTCTCAATAATTTATTTACAGCCTATCCTGGTAAACCAAACAGAATACGCCTGAAAAAAATAAAACAAAACCAGAACCAATACGTGGCAGTTTCTATTGAGAAAGGCAACTTACTAAGAGAACAGAAGAAACAATGTTTGCAGACTTGAACTAATCGGGAAATCAGCCCGACTGGTAATTGCTATATCCCACTGTGTTGATGCACAACCGTGATGAATTTCAACTTTTTTGGCAAGGGATGTGCACAGACATTGATTCTGCCATGGTAAACCTAATCACGGGAGCATGACGCTAAGCACAAATTGCACGACTCTCGCAAAGTCGAATTGTGCTGTACATTGTCTGGACAAACGGGAGTAGTTTGATCGGTTACCCACAGGTGGTCTGTTGCGTAAGAAGATTACTTTCTAGCCATGAGGCTGTGATTCCCAACGGAGTTGTCTAACGTTTAAGGGAACTCAACAAGTTTGAGCTAGATACGTAATAATTCCTGGCTTCCGGAGTTCATTTTATTTCGCTCTCCATACACAACACTGGTTATCACATGGCCGTTTTCAGTCCTCCATCATTAATTTCCATGACAATGATATTCGTCCTATATTTGCCGGGCTAATGTTGCAATACTAATAGAATAGGTTTTGAATTTTAATTTAACTTTACAGACCGCGAGATTTATCATATTTGGGGAGGCAGGGTCCGGTAAGACACCATCCTGAACAAAATAACTTTCTACACAAAACATTTTTTCCTTCGTATTGCGCAACACACCTGTATAGTTATGGATAGTTCAGCGACATTTGAAACAAACATCATGAGCCTAAATACAAAGCATCTCTATGCTTTTGACTACAGCTTACAAATATTGATACGTCATATAGATTGCATACTAATCAATTTTGATGGTGAATGTCCCAAACAGAACGAAACAGCTGTCCAGTGCTTTTCTTCGGTTATCACAAACATTTCCATGGAACTTAAATGGGCAGTACTCACCTCAAATCCTCAGAGTAAAATGATTCTAGAGAAAATAACCTTAGATGAAGGTCAAAAGATATGTGATTAAATTTTTTCAACGATTTCCCTCCGGATTTGTCATTCTCCATTGTTTTCAGTCAATGCAAAATATCCTTTTAATGTATTCTGTCGAGGTTCACACTAAATACTTTGTACATTGAAACAGTCGCCATGAAAACGTTTCATGTGCTGGCAAAAACGTCGCTAAATGTATCAGGCTATTTTCAGGATAGATGTCATTTCGATTATTGTACACGGTTTTTGTGTACCAACAACGATCATGCAGAAGAGGAGAGGCCTTCAGTGATGATTCCGGTTGTCAGGATACATTATTAACGAAGTGTTCCGCTAAGCAATAGTATCGATTTCATTAATCATTCATTCAAAATGTTCGCCATCGCGTGTGTAGTTGAAAGTTTAGAGTTCAAATTGAAGTTTGGGGTTCCACGGTTATGGCTGATTAAAAACGATTTTTACTTCCTCTCTGTTTATTATATATAAACATACATCCTTCGTTCAGAAGAGAAACAGTGATTAATCAAATGCGCCAAAGGAAAGGTGATTATGGAATCTGGGGACGATGTAGGGAAAACAATTTGGAAGTGACAATAAGTAGGTCACGTATAGGAATCACGTGACCTTTTCTGAACTACAACGTATGGGAAGCGATCGGTTTCAATCATTTACTTCCGTTAAATTCTACCATTCAACTCTTTCTTCAAACACATACACTTTGAAGAATATTCACGTACATAGTTACCAAACATCTATCCACAATTTGAAACCATGTTTCCAGAGTTCCCTTAGGAATTCTAAAAAAACTGATTATATCAATTTTAAATGCCATTCAACACTCACTCGTATCTCTTATAACAATTCATTTATAAAAGCGTCATACATCTTAAAACCTTGTGTTCTATGATTCATTTTTCAGCTAAACGGGCAAAAGACAATTACTGGGAGTCCGAATTGTGGTCTCTTCAGTGAAGTGGGACAAAGTACAGATGAAGTTGTATTTAGATGCGTCTAGCAAATAAACTGTTCAATATCGTGATTGCCGGTGCGGTGAAAGTTATCGTTTGTGAATTTGGAGCAGGGGTCCCATGATGGTGTGAGGTAAACTGTCTTATATAGGATACTATGCGAACAGTGAGCATTTAATGTCTAAGATAAATATGGATTTATATTTCCCGTCAAATAAGGATTACCGATAGACGTTCACGATTAGACTCTCACAGGCCAGTTCAGTCAAGTAAAAGCCATTGCATTTACCAAAATGTTGCTATTTCAAAAGACAGTTTGAAGGTCACACATTCGCTCAGCTGATGCGAAATGATTACGCCACCAAAAGACTACGACCAGTGGGGCTGTGAGCTATCGAGCACGAGGACAACCACTATAGTTAAGGTTACCCGGAAGAGATAGACACTACTTGACCGATGCTCTAAAACGTGACGAGTTTCACCTGGCAACAGTCTTTCGGCAACCAAATGAAACAATACTCGTAGGGAGCACGGTGATGAGTCCAACCTCGACCTTCAACGAAATAAGCCCACCGCTATCCTAGTTTCAAGGTAGAAGGAAAAAGTGGTTGCGATAAAACGGCAGAAGACGTATCACGAAAGAAGCCGAGTGGTACCCCGGATTATATGCCTTAAGATATTCCTAAGATTCCGCATTCAGCACTTTGATTTCCGCT